GGGCCCTGGGCTGCGCTCCCCGCGCCGCCGCCCTCCCACCGCCGGGCCGAGGGGAGTCTGGCATCCCGGAGCCTGCGCGCCCGCTTGGCCGCGCTCTGGGGAGGGCACTGCCAGCGTCAGCGCCCGGAGCTTCCCCCTCCCCAGCCGCGTTCCTCGAAAGCGTCTGGCAGCCTGTCTGTGCGCCAGGCCGGGTGGGGCCGGGTGGGCTGCTGGGGGTGCTCCTTAGTAATCTGGGGGACGTCGGCTCGTGCCGGGCGCGAGCGTGACTCTAGGGCCGCCGCTGTCGCTGGGGGCAGGGCTCGGAGCCTTCCGGATAGGTCTGGCGGGATCGGCAGGTCCAGCCCCATTCCCCTAGGCGCCGGGTGTCCCCTTCTCCCGCCTACACAGTTGCCAGTCCCTGAGGCTGGCTTTGCCGTCTGCGCTTGCCTTTTTGACTTTAGCGAGACCCTTCCCTTCCTTTCTACTTCCGTTTTATTGCTTTTTATTGTTTTCCTCCGGTCTCCTCTCCTCCCCTCCTAGGCCTCGTTTTGGACCTGATACATTTCCCATCCCTTTCACCTCTTCCCCGGGCTGGGATTATCCCTGGGACAGGTCCTGAGCCGAGTGTACTGCCTGGCCCGGTGGGAAGCCGCAGCCAGGTCAGCCCGAACCTAGGAGAGGTGTGTAGAAGTTCTGTAACCTTAGCTGCCACAGGCCTGCTCGTCTCACCTGCTGGGGAGATAACTTTGGTTTCTCTTTGCGGGTGGGTGATAAATTCCATAGGTTGATTTCTAGCTACTTTTCGTGACTGCTTCTGCCTCAGATGTATGGGAGAGAGCTTAACAGCCCCCAGCCCGGGCAGAGTCCCAAGGCTGTAACTAATAAGATTCAGAACTCAGGTGCAGCGAGTTGAGAGTTAGGACCCTGTCTGATGCCGTGCTACTTGGGGAATTTCACACACAGGCAAGCCAGGAGCAGGCCGGGATGATTCCAGAGGCTCGTGAGCAGCTCCCCTTCTATTAGCACCTCTTGCTGGCTGACCTTTGTTGATCCTTTTGGGGCGATAACAGAGCCTGCAGCCCCAGCCCCCAGGAGGTGGAAGGAAGGCCTTCTCCACCTCTCTTTAGAGGTGTGAAAGGTGTGATTTTGTCTCCTGTACTTGGGGTGGGAGAGCCTTCTGCTTCCCCAGTGGCTTGAAAGGTACACACCAGGAAACCATTCCTAGGGCGCCCTGTGCCCCCCGCCCCTCTTCATGGGGGCTATGCTGTCGGTTTACAAATCCTTGCCACAGGAAGTAGGTAGCTCTGTAGACTCAGGAAAATTACATTAAAAAATTTTTTTAATGGGGTAACATACCCAGGTGAAAATTTGAACCAGCACTGTACCATGAAAAGCGGGTCTTCCACACACCATAGAACACAGTTCCACCCCTGGAGACAGCCACCAGCTATTTCTTATTCATCCTCAGATAGTTCCCCACAAGTGTCCTTACAGATGAATGAATTAAATACCTGTGCCTGCCTTTCACCCAGCTGCATCTTGGAGACTTACCCCCATCAGAGAGTACAGGACCCTTCGCTAGTGGTGATGGCCCCTAGCGGTGGCTGTAGGTTGCTTCAAGCCTTACTGTTTGAAGCAGTGTGATAGAAGCTGTCCCAGTCATAGGTTTTTACATGTTCAGTGACTTATCTTTCATTAAAATCAAGAATTGCCAGGTCAAAAGTTCCATGCATTTGAAAGTTCAGTAGAAATTGCTACCTTTACAACACTATTACAATTCAAATGGCTGTCACTGGACAGTCCCTTTATCTCTTTATCTAACTCGTGTCCAGATACACCATATACAAGTTCAGGTTTTAATCTAGTGGCGTTCGGATCTTGGGGCAGTGCCTTTTACACTTTCCATAATCCTCTCTCCAGACAAACTCACTGGAGCGAGACGGTGATTCTTGAATCACATGGCCAGTGCTTATTTTTATATAGTGTCTGTGTACCACCTCTTCGCCTGCAATTTGTTGGTGATTGAAAGCAGACTCACTCTGAGAAAGCTTGAAACAGCCCTAAGAACTGCAATGAGAGTGAGACACCAGAGAGGAATGTTCTATCTCCATACCTCTGACGGGAGTGGGAGTGGGTGGAGGACAGAGACCATCTAATCTCCTTCTGACCCCAGTTTAAAGAGGCAGGGCCCTGTTTATCTGTCCCTCAACCTTTGAGGCAGACTCCTCGTCTGCAGGCCTTATTTTGTCAACAGGCAGGCAGGACCCCTCCCCCATCCACACCTCTGAGGCCCTCCCAGGAGCCAGCTCTTAAGTGGTCTGTTTAAAACCTAGGGATGGGATGGCCTGAAGGCTCTTCTTTCCCAAGCTCATCTCAAAGTTTGGGAGGGCTTGGGCACCTCGCCTCCTAATTCCCTTCCCAAATCACTCATTTTTCCTTTCCTCTCAGAACCCCAGAATGGCACAGGCGTGAATGTGGGAAACAATCAGGTAGTTTACTGACCAAGGAAGGTGTGAGCTGGTGTAAGCGTCTGGCATTCCTTCTGTTTCCTAGAAGGGAAGGAGGCTGGGTACAGAAGCAGAGAGTTAAGCCACCAAAGCCTCCCCCTCTGCCCGCCTCCTGAGCCCCCAGCCAGGCTCTTGTCATCATGACAGGAAACATGGTCACTGTGGAGGATCAGAAGCTCATCCGGGAAGGTGCAGTGGGCTATTTGTTGAAGTGACCACAGGGGAGTATATACTAAATGGGGCGGGGGCAGTTCCAGCGAGCTGAGAGGAAGCAGTAATGGCAAGATGACTCATTCTAGGAATTGGCTGCTGGCTTCTGGGAGGGAGTTGGAGCCTGTCATGTAATCCATTAACCATTTGTCGACTGCAGGGGTTTAGAAAAGCCAGCAGGCCCTCCACTGAGGGTTGGGTTTCACCATATCAAAAGACAGAAGAAAGACTCATTTTTCGAAATGACATAATCTCAGAAAGAATATTTAATCGATGGTTTGACACCAAGAGAATTCTCTTGGTTCCGAAAGATGGAAGTGTGTTTGTTTGCCCTGGGTGGGAAGCAGAGTGTGGCCTGCTAGGCCAGGAACTTGGGAAGTTGGCCTTATGTTCTTCTCTGTACACTGTCATGTCTTTCAGTAAAATCATGAAATTGCCAGGTTAAGTTATGGGCATTCCACTGGCAAGCCCTTGGCCTTCCGAGGATCCCCAGGCTGGTTTTTCATCTGATCCTTCTAAAGCCTATTCATATAGGCACAGCTCTGTGGCCGAGCCAGTTTTAACCTTTAATCTATCTGGCGACGTTTAAATGTAACACTGGGATTCTTTCATGCCAGTAGTTGAGATACCAGTGGGGGGCCTGGGAGAGCAAAGGTCAGGAAAGGAGGGTAATAAATATGTTAGAAAGGGTAGCTGGTCCCAAGCAGATAGAGACAGTTTTTACTTAATGGGGGCTGAGAATTAAGTTGAGAAATCCTCATTCCTACCATTTGTTTAGAAAGTAATTAACTTGATGGATGCCCCTAAACTGAACCTATAGAAGGGATTGTCAGCAGTGTACTTAGCACCTTGAGGGAGAGAAAGGCAAGGCTGTTTCACTGCCCCCCCCCACAAAAGCCTCATGTGGACCCCCTAAGTATGAATGGTATGGTACCATCCATAATTCTGCTTATAGCATACTGGGCTGGGGAAGAAACCAGTTTAGGAATCTTCTTGTAAATTAATGAAATCTTGCCGAATCACACCATCAATTTTAGATAAGCAAGAGAGAAAATTGGTTTTGTTTTCTGGGAGGATTTGGTTAATATTTGCCAGATGCTAGATAGTGCCTTTCACAGTTTGAGGTGCCGCTGACAGGCACAAGTTAATCATTGCTTCTCTGAGCTATAGCCGGTTAGGGGAGGGAGAGGGAGGGGAGAGAGAGTGAGAGTGTGTGTGTGTGTAACTCACTTCTAGTCTAAAACTGGTGATTTTGCTAAATTTTTACATGACCAGAGTTAATGTTCACTTAATTTGTTTTCTACACCAGAGTATTTTCTGATAGTCTGAGAAACCAGTGATTATACGTGTGTAAGTTTTTCTTTGTTCTTTTGTTTTTTGTAGGGGGATATGAGACCTTCTATTCAGAATATCCTGAGTGTTGTGTGGACGTAAAGCCCACGTCACAGGAGAAGATCGAAAGTGAGAGAGCCCTCCTTAGCCAGTGTGGAAAACCCGTGCTGAGCGTCAACTACAGGCCAGCCTATGACCAGGTGCGTGGTGTGTAGTTCCTGTCTCCCTTCCTTCCTCAGCACCCTGACACCTCCTTTCCCTGCTTGGCAACGGAGGTTCGTTCTTTGTGGATCAGGGTGCTGGCACCATCCTCCAGCTTTGAGAGTCTCTGTTGCTTGCCAACTTGAGTTCCCATCCAAGGATAAATGGGCATCCTTCCAGCAAACAAGCTGACAAGAGCAAGCAAGCCACAGGATGCCGGACAGCTTCTGGAGAAAAGGGGAAGTGAAAGATACATTACATTATTACTCACTGGCTTGGGAGGTTCAGACAAGCTTCACCAAAAAAAAAAAAAAAAAAAAAAGGTTGAGGTTTTGTTGAAGAGGTTCCATAACTGACTTTAGGCTGCCTGTTCTTTTTTATAATTGTTCATGCTTTGCAGTTTCTGTATACCAAACCCTTACCTGTTATGTTGTGTCTTCTTGGCAGCTTTAACTGAGTCAGGGTGGGGAAGAGGTTGATGCTACAGGGAAACTCCTGTTTGGATGGCTGAAAAGGCCACTGGGGGGTTCTTTCTTTGTTTATTTTGGTAGAGGGAATCGAACTCAGGACCTTCTACTTGCTTGGCAGGTGCTTGTGCCCCTGAGCTGTATCCCCGGCCCCTCCTGAGGGTTTCTGATACTTACAGTTCTGTGCATTCTGATCTGAGAGATCAAGAAACACTAGGCGGCTTTATGTTTCTGCTCACATCTGAGGTTTTTTTTTTAACCTTCAAAGAATTGTGCTTTGTGACAACTCCGGGTTACCTAGAACAATGTCGGAGGCTAGGGGAAAGGTGGATGAGAATCCAGATCTGGCAGAAACCAGAGCTCAAAACACACTTTGCCATTTCAGAGGAGAAAAACTGCCGTGACTCATGGTGTGATTGATCTGCAAAGAGACCTGCAGCAAGCTCACGCGCAGAACTCCCTTCTCTTAAGCCCTTGGTTTGGTTTCTTTCAGAACCTTCTTTCCCCTCTGGCCTGGCCATCTGACTTGGTGGGAGGAGCTCTTCAGATTTCTTCCAAAACTAAGAACATAGCCAAAATCTAAGAAGGAAGCCTTATTTTTCCAGATCCTACCAAAAATGCCTGCTCCCTGCCGCAGCCAGAACTCTGCTGCTGGAGACAGACTTCCAAGTACAACCAGGTTGACCTGGTCTTGAATGGGATCCTTGGTCAGGAGGCCTAGTGGCTTGGCCAGGTGCCAGGTTTATGATTCTGTTTATATTCCTTTGTGAAAAATCTTCACCCTGGATGATGAACCCTTGGCTTTACATCCATGAGCTTCTGACCTAGCTAGGTTGCTATTTTTGTTTGTTGAGGTTGTATTTCCCCTTCATTTCTCTGAAAGTGAAAGAGAAATAAGAATTGGCAGTGTGTTGTGAAAGCATGGCAGACCTTTGGCCAAGTGATGGGCGGGGAGGTCTGATGTGTCTTCAGGACTTCTGGGGAACCCCCAAGTGCTACTTCCTAGAAGCGCATCTGTGCAAAGAAAGCTAGGCGAGGCCGAGTTAACCTTTAGGGTTTCTGGAGGCCTTGGGTGTCTTCCTCTTGAGTCTAAAGGGAAGACGCAGAAAGGGAAAGAAATGACAGTGTAAGGGGCATGTTGGGCTAAGCTCGTGGGGAAGTCAGATCCGATCCTAGGTGTGGTAGCGTTCCAGGCCTTTGGGAACAGCAGAGATTGGAGCCAGCTATCCAGCCTGTTCCTTAGAGGGGCAGGCTCTCAGTCCCATTGATGGGGATCCAGAGCTGGTCCGTGGCTGAGCAAAGGTGAACTTGGCTCTCTGACCCCTGTCACCTCTGCTGTGTTCCTGGTTTCTAACCAGTGGGGAGTGGGGACCAGGGAGTGGGCTGCTCAGGCCAGCACAGACTCACTGGGATTGGCTGGTCTCTCTATTTTCCCTGTGTGTTCACCAGGCAGAGAAGGCTCATGTTCTGTTTGTTTATTCTTTGGCCTCAGAAATGATGGCTACATAGTGTGCCAGGTTTTAATGCATCTATCATCTTACTTATGTCGTACCAGTTATCCTATTAGGGTAGGCATTGTTATTTCTAGTTAATGAATAAGGTTCAGAGGTCAACAAAGCTGCCCAAGGTCATAGCAAGTAGGAAATGTGGGCTGGAAATTGACCAACAGCTGTTCTCTCTGATGCTGAAGTCCAGGTTCTTTTCTCTTTGGTTTCTTGCTGGTGATGGACTTGGTTCGGTTTGGTTCGGTTCGGTTTAGTTCGGTTTGGTTTGGTTTGAGACAAGGTGTTGCTGTGTAGTTCAGGCAGACCTCACACTCCCAAACTCTTGGCCGTCCTCCTGCCTCAGCCATCTGAGTGCTGGAATTATTTAACCTTGGGGCCATAATATCACTGGGAAAGCTGTTCAGTACGTATGGGATAGGAGTTCAGAGATGTCAAGGAGAAAGAGAAAAGTATTTTTTGTATGAAATTCTCATGTATATTCTCATACTGATCATGTTGCCACGTACTTGGATAATGCCTTGCATGCAGCTCATTTTAAGCAGCCAGATTTGGGTGTCAATCCCAGCTCCAATGCTGCCTAGCTCTGACACAGGCACGTTATTTAATCCCACCTGAGCCTCAAGTCACGCACATGTAAAATGGGAATAATGTTACCCACCTCACAGATTTGTTTTGTTCTTTTTTTTTTTTGGCTTTTCTCCGGTACCAGGGACCGAACTCACGACCTTGCGCTTGCCAGCAGGTGCTTTGCCGCTGAGCTAAATCCCCAGCCCCACCTCACAGATTTGTTGTGACATTAATACAGTATCAGTACCTCTGTTGCAGTGGTGTTGAGCCTGTGGCAGGCATGCTGCAGCCAGCTATTTGTTGCCACTGAAAGCTCTAAAAGGTTTGCCATCACGGCTCTAAAGTGTTAAGCCCAGGTGCTGGCCACTGTAGATACTAATAAAAATACTGCTTGTTGTTATTTTTTACCTTGTGTAAAATGGTCTAACTTTCTTCTAAGTGGCTGAATTAGCTTTTGCTTAAACACTTGTCAGCGAGGCAAAAGCACACAGCAGGTGCTGGGTAGATTGAGAACTGCCTGCGCTGACTCCGTCACATCCCCTTTCCTTGGGCGTTTCCGTTCCACTCTTATTCCAGGACGGGAAATAGACAGGAAATGGATGGATGGCATGGGAAAGACTCTCAACAGCACAGTGACTGTCCCCCCCGCCCAGCATTTCCTCTGAATCTCTGGGGGCTCCTGTTGTTCCAACTATCACTGGCTTTTTCTTGGGACCCGAGGACACTGTAAATGCTCACACTGCCAGAGTCCAGTGAGCTGGCCGTTCTCCGTGTCGATTGGGGTGCTAGCCTCCGGTTCTCCCTTCGTCTAGATCCTCCTGGCGAGACAACCGATGTGTGGGTGACAGTGTAAACCTCTCTCAGAATACCAGGGCCCCATGTGAAGGTCAGGGGTGGGGGAAGCCCCTCTGCCTGTGGTCTAACAGCTTTTCTTAGTCTACAGATTCTGGGTAGGTTATAGTTGTTTTCAATTCTAAGAAGTACACTTTCGGGGTGGGGCCGTGGTTTACCATCGCTAAAACTGGATTGTCCTAGGATCAGCGGTGTCTCTTAGGATTGGTGAAGTACCAAATGTCGGGATGTGAAGGAGGGGGCTTGCCTTGCCAAACACGTCTTCATTTTCTCTCTGGAGAAACCAGGATTGCCGAGGTTCAAGCGCTTGCCCTGGGACTCTCCGCGCTTCCTGTCACACCACACTACCTCTCCTGCTAGTGCAGGAAGGCTGCTGGCAGTGCCAGCCGCCTCGGTGTGTGCAAAAAAACGAAACTCTGGGCCATTTGGGTTTTGCTGTCACTGAGTCACAAGGCAGTCACGCAGGGCAGAGAGTTTGCCAGGATGAAGGTGCCACCCACGCTCTTGGCTGAATTGCCCTGGCTCTGAACTCTCTCTACCTGGAAACCAGAAAGGGAACCTCCCACCTTAAAAAACAAATAGGTCAGAGTTGTTTTTTTTCTTCTCTCAAATGAGCAAGCTCATCCGATATTTCCTGGTTGTTTTTGTCCGTATTTCCAGGGCAGCCCAGTCGAAATCCTTCCCTTCCTCTACCTTGGAAGTGCCTACCATGCATCCAAGTGCGAGTTCCTCGCCAACCTGCACATCACAGCCCTGCTGAATGTCTCCCGCCGGACCTCAGAGGCCTGCACAACCCATCTACACTACAAGTGGATCCCTGTGGAAGACAGCCATACCGCTGACATTAGCTCCCACTTTCAGGAAGCAATAGACTTCATCGGTAGGTTCAGCCACCTTCCCTCCGCGACCCTGAGAGCCCCGTTGGAGCACACAGTTTTGGCTTTTGAGGTCCTGATGGAGGCTGTATTCCGTGAAAGAAGCCAAGTGTCTTGTGTGTGTACCCACTAAAAGCTGGAACCAAGGACAGAGCAGCCACCAAAAAGGCAGAGGGGACAACCTGAGATCCTATTAATAGGAGCTTGGATTTGCAAGATAAATGAATTAATACCATTTTCGGGCAGTACCGAGTGGCACTCTTGTTACTGTTTCTAGCTGCACGGGAGCAGAGCGTGTCTGTGTGTACTGCTCCACATGGGGAAAGCGGGGGAAGAACTTCCCTCGCTGTGCTGCTACGTAGGTTGGGGTATTTTTAAAAGCAAACAGAAGGATGGAGAGAGAGCACTACTTACGCACCGAGCCCCAAGGGCCCCGTAGCTATCCACGCTTTTGGCAGGCGGCTTTGGAGGCAATTTGTTTTGCATTTTCAGCTAATTTTGGATTACAGATAGCTTTTGACTCAAGCTCTGTGCTTTGCACATAGAAAATTTGGCATCTTTGCATCCTTTCTGCATTCTTATGAGGCAGTTGTCGTTATTCCATTGTACAAGCTCACGCGTGAGCTTTGGCTTCTGGCCCCTCTGTCTGAAAACGGCTTTGGCCTCGGGGTTTCCAGGTACTCAGGTAGCCTGGCATGTTCTCCCATGGGACCTCTTCCCACTCCCTCCATCCCCATTCCTGGGGGCTGGCCTGGCTTGCTTTTTTTTTGACTCAGATTTGCAAGTAGCACTCCTGGCCTTATGGCTGTGCCTTCGACTTCAGAAGCCTTCTCTCTTCAGCCCGCATGGTTGTTGGAATGGACATGATCTTCCTGCATCTTATCTCATGAGATGTCGGAAGCAAAAAGGCAGGTGTTGGGCACAGCGGTCATTCCTTAGTGCAGGTAGTGATTAAAGGGCCCTCTTCAGCCATGTGGTAGGCCCTGTGCTCACCACACAGTTTCCACTGCACAAGAAACGCAGCAGAGACAAAAGGCCAGGCCTATCCTCCTTGCGCCCTTGAGCCTGTGGGCTAGATCATCCCTTTGGAGCCTGAGAGGCAGCCAGAATGATGGTCTCCAGGCAGAAACCCTTGACTTGTCCTCCCTGGCCCTGGGAAGAACTTGCCATTCCCAGCCTGCTGTTGAATCACCCAGATAGCTACTGCATGAGGTCACAAAACCTGTCCCCAGCCAGTTCTCAGAACCATCCCTCGCCATCCTATGTGTGTGTGTTGTACCTGTGTTTGTGTACACAGCCACACAGCCCACAGTGTTTCAAAAGCACAGGGTGCATTTTTCCAGATGCCCTGCCCTGCAGTGGAGGAGGACAGAGGGCCCTGTGTGGAAATGTGCACTGACCCCTTCCAAAGGAAGAGGGTCATGTGCAAGGCAGGCCCCTGAGGTGTAGAGGGTTCCAGAAGCAGTGCATTCCAGGCCCTTTGCATTCACAGGTGTGGTACAGGGCCTGCTAAAAGCTGCATCCCAGAGGAAGCCAAACAGAAGAGCAAAGGAGAATAAGAGGCGTGACTGTAATCCTAGGGACCTGGGTCTCCTCTTTGAACCAGTGTACAAGGATTTTTATTTTGGGAGGTTTATTTGTACTTAACTGGAGTACTGCTAATGAACCACCCTGGGTGTGCTCTGGGTTTTTTTTTGATTAAATGGGGACTCTGTGGGGTTCCTCCCTGTCCCTTTAGAAATTTTTTACTTTTAGATGTTGCAGACTCATTTGCAAACTTCTTGAACTTAGAGCAGGTGGGTGGAGGGTAGTGAGAGGGCTGACGTTTTCCCCCTCCAGAAATCTTTGTTTTTGCATAGTGTGGCCTAACAGAGTACCAGCGATAGCTAACTTCCTGTGATGTAATTGTTTCCTCCTTAGCAAGAGAGGGAGTTGGAGAGACTGTATTTTTTGTGGTTTTGGTTTGATACGTATTCACCTTTCACCCTTTCCCATTCTCAAAAGCTGCCATTCTGTTCTGCTGGGAGGGGTAGGACAAGGAAAGGGGTGGCCCCTCCTTTTGTCATATTGAGCTAAAGAGTGCCAACCCATGGTGGCCACTTTATAGCAGTTACTCCCATTGTTGAGCAAGATGGAGTTTGCAAAAGCCATTTGTATTGCCCATCCAGCAAGTGTCACTTAGCCAGGGCTATAATTAGTGGCCGGGCATTATTTATCGTCTGTTTTTTTGTGAGAAGCCTGGGACCTGAGCCAAGCATCTTGCCCTGGCACAGCAAGACAGGGTACCCAGGGAGACCGGAAGGTCTCTACCACAGTGGGGGCTGGCTGGGTCATCGCTATTAGAATCAAACCTGGGGAGGCAAGAATTTCCACTCCAAGTCAGCCTTTGAATCTGGGATGCTCTTAGAAAGATAGGCATACCCAATAAAAATATGCATAAAATTCCAGGGATTTTCCAGTGCCATCCTGAACCTTGTCAGTGGAACTCAAATTAAGATGGCACTCCCGGAGTGGGTGTAGTGGCATAATCCTGTAGTCCTAGCACTTTGAGAGGCTAGGAGGGTCACAAGGGGACAGACCTTAGTGAGACCCCACAAGCTCTATCCTCACCAGGGGATGCGGAAGACTGGCAGATCTCATAGGACCATAGCTCCTGCACAGGCTTCATGGTGTGGTAACTAGGTCATGTCAACGTTCAGTTCTCATGCTTTAACATTGCCTCCAGATTCCGGTTTGATCGCATTCCCACGCCTTTCTTCCTTTCAGACTGTGTCCGGGAAAAGGGAGGCAAGGTCCTGGTCCACTGTGAGGCTGGGGTCTCCCGGTCGCCCACTATCTGCATGGCTTACCTCATGAAGACCAAGCAGTTCCGCCTGAAGGAGGCCTTTGATTACATCAAGCAGAGGAGGAGCGTGATCTCACCCAACTTCGGCTTCATGGGCCAGCTCCTCCAGTACGAATCTGAGATCCTGCCTTCCACGCCCAACCCCCGGCCTCCCTCCTGCCAAGGGGAGGCGGCAGGCTCCTCATTTATAGACCATTTGCAGACTTTGAGCCCTGACATGCAGGGCGCTTACTGCGCATTCCCTACCTCGGTGCTGGCACCAGTGCCCCCGCTCTCGACGGTCACGGAGCTCCACAGGAGTCCTGTGGCCACAGCCACGTCCTGCTGAGACTTGGATGGGGTCCCGGCCCAGCCCCAGGAGCAACTGTGACTTTGTTCAAGTTTGTGGACATTTCATTCCTGTGCACTACTGAAGACCTCTCTCTGTCACACTGCCCCACTGAGGCAGTGAGGGGCCCGCAGGCTTGCAGCACAGATGAACTTCAGCCTGACCTCGAGGACAGGTCCTTGGGACCGAAGGAAGGCCAAGCCATTAGGGTAGCACAGTGTGTGCTCACTACTGTACTTCCAGACCCCCTGCCCTCTCAGGACGGCCCAGTCCTCGCACCTCAGAATTCGCCTTTTCATTTCAAGCATAAGGCAATAAATACCTGCAGCAACGTAGCGGGGAGAAGTTGCTGGACTAGGAGAAAAGGCAGTTACAAAGCCAATTCATCCTGAAGGAAGCACAATTTCCACCTTATTTTTTGAACTTTGGCAGTGTCCGTGTCTGTCTTTGTTGCTTTAGGGCATAAGCTGATCCCCGCCATGTCAGGAGAGCAACCCTCTTGGGTTTGTAGGGATACGACGTGTATGCCAGTGGAAACCCTGAAATGTTTTAGGGGTTCTTTTTGGACCCAGGGGAGGCAACTGATGGAAGGTGCCAGATGTTGACTCTCCTGGGTGTCTTTTTCGCTGTGGGTTTCTCCCCTGACCTTGGACTTTGGCATGATTCTGACTCCTACTTGAACCTGTCTCCTTGCGTCTCTCTTGGGAGCAACTGGTGTCATGTGCAAAGTTTTCAGACCATAAACTAAAATCACCTCTTTGAGGTGGTGGCAGTGGGTGCCTGGAGAAGAGAGAGCCCACTGTGTGTTCCAGATCAGTGGCACTGAAAACAGTCACTCTTCGCCTGCTGTGTCCCTCTGTGTGCTTGTGTCTCATCTCTTGTGACACTTATTTTTCTCCCTGCCCCTGGGGTTATCTTCAAGCTACTGACTTCTGGGATTTACAGATTTTGCAGTGTGGTACTTCCTTTCGGTTTAGGTTATTTCTCCAGGGGAAAAGGCAATAATTTCCTAAAACCCATGTGAATGTGAAGAAAAGCAGTATGTTACTGATTGTCCTTGTTGTTTTTTTATAGTGCAAAATAAAAATAGTAAGATGAAAGCACTTCTCCATGTAGTTGGTGCGTTGGGGTGATGTAGGGATACCGTCGGACAAGCACCAACCTGCTTCACTGGATTTTATTTCCAGATGACAGTTGGGTGGGGGTGGGGTGGTGGGTGTGCAGCTGTGGGCATGAGGTACATCTGCTCACAAGTCAGGCATCTTAACCAGGACATACGTAGAATGTCGCTGTCCAACAGAGGGGCTGCTCTAAGCAAGCAAAAGTTCCTGGACATCACCCATGCAGGGAGATAGAGTGTTGCCCACTCGGGGCCCTTTACTCTCATTGCCCCAAGGCAAAGACTTTGGCTTGAACCTTAGGTTTCTCATCTGTGAAATGGGGCGAAGACAATCCTGAAGGTCCCTGGAAGTTCAAGTCCCTTGATTCCAGCTAACCTGAGTGCCAGCCTTGGGGCCAGCCTCCTCTCTCCCTGCCTGGCAAGTGGCAGACTGAGAAGACAGTGGCTAGGTGATCGTGGAGATGCGGCAAACTAGATGAAGTTTCGGTTTAAGGACCTGAGACTCCACCCCACATGTCTTTAACAAATTCTAGATACCTCCCTCAGGAGTTCCTAGGTAAATCCTTCAATGAGTGAGTTTAAATCTAAGACAGAATCACCTTGCCCTCTGCGTAAGTTCCTCTGCATTGGTGGGGAAAGGAAGGAGCAGTGTAAACTTCCCCTATCTGAGCTGCCCTGCTGTGCCCTAACTCAGGGGCCGTTCCCTAATCAGGGGAAGTGGAACTGGTTGCAGTTTGTACCACCCCAGGCAGCCAATACTTAACATGGGAACTCCAACCTACCCCTCAATTCAGAGGGCCCAAAGAGGCTCCAGCAACCACAGGATGGTCCGTGTTGGCAAATAGTAAGATGGTAGCAGAGCTCAGGGAGCCCGGCTCTCCATGAAACCTCATCTCAAAGGCCCTGCTTGAGGCCTTACTCTCTCAGGCCTTGCCTTTCCTCAAATCACCCTCCACTGGCGCCTTGGAAGGCTCACAGGTGAGGCCACTCACACCAGGAGGGCTGGATTTCTTTTGGCTGCTCCCCTCCTCTGCTTAATCCACTGGGCTTCCGTGGAGAAGATGCATTGGCAGGAAGTAAGAAGTCCTGGGGTCGAGCTCTCATCCCACCCCTCACTTTGGTGTATTGAGCTAACCTCCATCCTCTGTGGACCAGACTTCAGGTCTTGGTCTAGCTGATGCCTGATCTGTTATAGTTCCACATCTCCAGGTTGCACCCTGGAGAAGGACCGGGAAGTCCAACCATCGTACGGGCCTGTGCAGATGTGAGGGACCTCAAGCTCAGAGAGCCTGGGATAGGAAGCCTGTGCAGGCTGCAGGGTGATGTGCTAAGCCGTGTCCCACTTGCTGACATTGGATTTATTGCATTAGAGTTGTCCTCTACGGGGTGTGTAAGTCCTCCAAATCAGGCATCTGAGGATTGCTCATAAGCTGGTGAGTCACTGGGCAATAGGCTAAGTGGAGCCCCGCAGCTGGGGGTGGCTCTGGAACTCTCCACTTAATAGACTTTTTGTTAATTTCCCCTCCATTTTTGCCAAGATAGACCTTACTCTGGTTTCCAGTGCCAAGTGGGAAATTCAAGTTGGTGCTGTGCAGGTCCTTTCACCTGTGACCGGAGAGACACCTCTGTTGGTCTCCAGCATCTTCTCAGGTAGAGATGTATCCGAGAGAACAGAGATCTTTGTTCTCCACTCTGTTTTCCTTCTGTGCGTGGTCCCACTCAGGTCCACCCCATCCTGAGCTGGGCCTGATAGATGGGGACATGAGACGTGTAGGCAGCCTCAGCCTTGTATCTAGCATGCTGGAAGGGGCCCTGTGCACACACGGATTGCTTTGGTGCAAAGACCCTGGAAATGGGCCTGCTCAGGGGTGCGACCAAGTGCTGTGTTTCTCTCTGGAGTGATTCTGTCCAGAGCCCAGCCCCGTAACTGAGGCCCTGGCTTCTTGCCATAGGACCTCACCCTTGTGTCCTCGTGGTCCCCTTCTGTGGGGAACCCTGGCATGAGTAGACAGATTATTCACAGTTCCAACACAGATGCTTCTGACCCGCCATACACTGGATGTGGTTATCCACTTACGCCGAGCACCTTTAGAACCTGGGGTTGGTGGAGGAACAAGAGTCTGTGGCTCCTCCCTCCCAGAGTTCCTGATTCTGATGACTGTTCTGAACTTCCTGTCCCAGACCTAAGCTGGCTTCTGCAGTTCGACCTGTGTCTTCAGCCCCACTCCTCCCCTAGGCCCTACCTCATCCTCTCATCTCTGTACACTGCAGGCCCCAGGTCCCCAGAGAGGCCAGCCGGTAGATAGAACTGTGTTCCCGAAGATATAGTGTTTGTTAACGTTTATTTTTTCATTAGTCATGTTTGCGGTGCATAAGCATTGCATTCACCATGAAGAATTGGTGCATGTACGTAACATACCCTAATTAAGTTCTCTTGCTTGCCTTTCTATCTCAGCTGCATTTTCCCCTTAGTTTCCTGTCCTCTGCCCCATCTTTCTTTTTTCCCCATTGCTGTATCTATCTTTTATTTGACTCTATATTTAGGGTCTCTTTTATGAGGAAAACCATGACATATTTAAGCTTGTGTGTCTGATTTATTTCACTTAACATTATGGTTTCATCCATTTTCCTACCATGATTTAAGTTTATCCTTCTCTATGGCATAATAGTACTCCATTGTACTTATCCATGCATCTGTTGATGGACATATAGGCCACTTCCAAGATTTAGTTATTGTGAATTGTGCTGCTATAAATGTGGGTATACATGTGTCACTGTAATATAATGATTAACTCTTTAGGAATGATACCTAGCAAAGAAATAGCTGGATTGAATGGAATTTCTTGTTTTAGTTTTTTGAGGAATCTCCCTACTGATTTCAATAATGGTGTACTAGTTTACATTCCCACCGATAATATAGAAAGGTTATTTTTCCCCTGCAGTCTCGCCAGCATTTGCGTTATCTGCTTTCTGGATGATAGCAATTCTTTCTGGAGTAAAATGGGTTATCAGTGTCATTTTAATTTGGATTCCTCTAATGGTGAAAGACACTGAACATTTTTTCATGTGTTTACTGATCATTTGTATTTATTCTGAGAACTGTACGTTTTAGTTGCCTATTTTGTGATTGGATCTTTTATTTTGGGGATCTTATTTTTTGAGTCCTTTGTACATTCTAGCTATTAGTCTTTTCCAGAAATAGCTGGCACAATTTTTTCCCATTCTTTAGCTTGTCTCTTCACTCTGTTGGTTGTTTCCTTTGCTGTGAAGAAGCTTTTCAACTTGGTATGATCCCATTTGTTGCTTCTTTCTGTTATCTCTTGTACAATTGAGATTCTGTTCAGAAAGTTCTGGCTATGCCTATGTCTTCAAGAGTTTTACCTATTGTATCTTCAAGCAGATTAAGTGTTTCTGTTTTAATCTTTAGATCGTTGATCCATTTTGATTTTAGTTTGGTACATGGTGAGACATATGGGTCTAGATTCAATCTTCTGCACATGGATATCCAGTTTTTCCAGCACCATTTGTTAAAGAAGCTGTCTTTCCTCCAGTGTAAGTTTTGGCCCCTTTGTTAAAGATCAAGGAATTGCATGTTCTTAAAGTTGTTTCTGCATCTTCCGTTCTGTTCCAATGATCTACAGTTCTATTGTTGTTCCAATACCACACTGTTTTTATCACTGTAGCTTTGTAGTATACCTTGAAGTCC